ATTTTTAAATATAATTTTGAATATAATGTTTCTATCTCATATTTTGGTTATGCATGGACAAAGATTAGGTTCCCCATCTCCTCTGTTTTTTTTTTTAATTTTTTTAGAAGAAAGAGCTGAAAATTCAATTTGAAAAGGTGATAAAAGTCCTGTAAAAGAAGTAGAAGCAAAAAATTACAAAGTTCTAAATACAAGATTATTGATAATTACAATCTCGATAAAACAGAGTTGAACAGTAACAGGTTACTAGTAGTCTTTTTAAGTTATGTTTATATTGACTAATTGTAAAAGTTTAAGTTGTAGCCTAAAGATCACTGTTTAGTTCCTCGGTAAACAAGACAGTCAATCTTTCTATATAATTACTAGTCGATGAGAAACCGATCTCGACTCCTCCATTCCCATCTCTGCTCTCTGCCATAGAAAATGCTCCATTACCATCAATCGACACAATCTCCACACTTTTGGGTTTTCCCCACCCGAAATCCGTCCCATAAACTCCAAAACGGGTTGACCCTGCCACTGAAAATGTAAGCAGATTTGCATTTGAAACCTTGTTCATAAAATCTGATAGAACATCCGGTAACTTTTCAAGACTTCTCGTCCCTAACCTTGAAACCATATCACTGACCATCTTTGCAGCAATGGCAATCCCATTTTGCCCCATGAAATCTCTTGCTATACCAAAATCCATCTCTGCACCAATGCAATTACCGAAGTAGGTTAATGGCAGTGGAGGGTCTAAGCGATTTCTGTAATCAGCTGCGAATCCAATTACAACCTCTCTGTTACTGATGTCTCCACCTTTGGCCTTAACCATGCAGGTTATCATATACGCGTAAGTGAGGACGAAGGTTGACAAATGAAGAGGCGATTGATCTTGCTCGTAGTGCTTTATAATTACCTCGTTTCGAAGTACCCTCTCTCTTATTTTCTTCAAATCTTCACGAGTCAACTCGAATTTGACTCGAATAAACTCAGGATCAACTTCTCGAACCGGCAACAACTTGAGGTTTCCGCTGTTTCGATGATCTGAAGGATCATGATCTCCTCCCGATAAAGCAATCCATTTGTTCAAGAGCGCCACATCGAGCCTTCCCGGGTCCTTGATGGCACCGCGGGAAAAACAGGGGATTAACTCTGGCGGCAAGGAATCGTTTTCTTGATCTTGCGCCTTGCATATATGAGCCCACGATTTGACGAACGATGTTATTGTGTGGCCATCAAGAACTGCGTGGTGGGTAGTAACGCCGATGCAAAATCCTTGACTTGGAAAGAAAGTTATTTGCAACGAGATGATTGAAGAAACGTGATCGTTTACAGATAATTCAGGAGCTAAGGCATGTAAGTCGACAGCTTTCCGGGGGATTCCATTGCCGGAGAGACGAGCGAAGTCCGCGATGGATTCTGCAACGGTCAGGGAAACGGCGTCGTAAGTGGAGCAGAAGATGATGGGTTTGGGATAATCGGAGTCCCACTTGATGTTGCCGGTGAGAGGGAGATAGTGGGGGAGGGCGAAAGAGAGTGAGCGTTTTAGTTTCGGGAGAATGAAGGAGTAGAAAGAGGGAGGTTCAGAGAGAGTAAGAGTGAGTTGGTAAAAGAAGAGGCGCTGAGTTGGAGGGAACTTAAGCCAATAGATGTCGAAGAAGGTGAGGGGAAGAGACATTTGACTCACCGAGTGTTGCGAGTCGGAGGGCGGTGCAACTCGAACGACCTCCACTATCTTCATCGGGTTAGGTGGCTCCATAACACGCAGCGTCGTCATGTGTATGCTTACTGTGTTTTTCGCTGGTAAGGCTTCTATTGGTGGGCTACTACTATAAGTAGAATTATGATTATTATTATTTAACGAATCCTCTTTTTATCTTATTCGAATCTTATGTTTTATGAATTTGTCTCAGAGCATTAAAATAATAAAAAAGAGGAATAATAAAATGATTAAGAAAAAC